GTGTGTGTGTGTGTGTGTGTGTGTGTGTGTGTGTGTGTGTGTGTGTGGTGCTGGGAATTGAACCTATGACCTTGTGCATGCTAAGCAAGTACTCTACCACTAAGCTGTTATTCCTAACCCTGCCACTTATTCTTCTATTTGTATTTCAGATAACTGATTAGTACATTATCAACTAATATTTGAACATAATTACTGGGATATATTTAAGTTACTGTGTGATGCTTTTGTTTATTACACAGCAAAGTAATGGTTCTTTAAATTTATACTATCTTTCAGATCTTATGAGATGCTACTACTTCAACTAGTTTAATGGGTTTTCATTCAGGTGAATACAATATAATACCAGCTTCTAAAGGGGAAGGTGGCTCTCTTTCATCTAAATCATCTGCAGAAGGCATGGTTCCACTGAATGGAGTTTGTGGAAGTTTTTGATGAAAGTCTCCTAAAAGAAAATTGTTGATACCATTGCCTGGCTATTCATTTTAGAACAGAAATGGGAAATTACAATATTTTTGGAATTATGCAAGTCACACTATTTTATTAGCTTCAATCCAAAAATTTGCTTCCATTCTTATACTCTAGATAACAGGGAATAACGATGCTCATTCCTTCTTGGGAACAAAAGGAATTTAACTAAATTTATCTGACTTTTCCAAATAAATTTAAAACTTAGGATCATATATTCCTATGAGAACTTACTGCCAACTTCTGATAGAAAGTATTAGAGGTTGTAAGCTTCACAAAGATAGGTAGTATCTAGGGGCTGGAATTGTGGCTCAGTGGTAGAGCACTTGCCTAGCATGTCCAAGGCTCTGGGTTTGATCCTCAGCACCACATAAAAATAAATAAATAAAATAAAAGTATAAAAAAGGTAGTATCTTATATTCATGTTCTATATCTAATATCTGACAGAGTGGCTAGCAAAATAGTAAAGTTGTCATTAAATGTTTATTAAATTATTAATAAATGTACACAATACAATCTAAGGCCTTCTAAAATATACAAAAATTATCTGAACCCAATAGTAAAATTAAATTATGTTATTAGTAAATCAGGAGATAGGAAACAGGGAGAACCCAGGGATCTCTAGCCAAGAGCTGAAATCACAAGTTCAAACTATGTCACAGGACACTACTATGTATATATCAAAGCATGTTTGGAAGTAGACTGACTAGCAGAGATTTACTCTGCTGAAATTATAAACAGGTCTACAACTGAGTAAAGAATTCACTTTAACTCAAGGTCTTTAAACAACCTTAGCTTCAGTTAGTAACACTTTTCATAAATGATTTTAAGCAATACCCTCTTCTCAAAAGGATTTTTCTGTTCAATATGCTCACAGGTGGGTGTCTAGTTTTTACTTTGAATGTGTTCCCAATGACTAAAAAATCACAAGTTCACATGTTCCATTTTAGAACTACTCTAATTATAAAACAGTTCCCTTATATTATTGAACAAAAATCTGCCTCTGTATGAATCCCAGTCTTTGGACATATTTTTTTTCTCACAGGGGCAAACAAGAACTCTAATTCATTTCATTCCATTTCATTCCATGTCCTTAAGTTTCTTTTCTCAAGTAAGGCATCTCTCAGTCTCACCCATTTATCATGAGATAGAAATTCCAAATTTTTGCCTTCATCACATGACATCTACAAGATTCCAAATGGGTTAAGGGTTGCTCTAGATTAGGTCTTAATTTCTGGCACTACCTATAATATTCAGTTAAATATTTAGGCTCGAGAATGTCCCTTGAATAGAGGTAATGGGAAATGAGAAAGTAGCACCTGTTAATCAATCTACAAACCTCAGTGCTTCATGGCAAAAATTCTAACTTTAAATACAAGACATTAATCCGAATGTATAAAACTGTGCAATATGTAAAATACTTTAAAAATGGCTTTAGAATTTGATGAGGTCAAACCCTAAAACATCCCCATCATGAGTCTAGGAGGAAGGCAGATAGCCAGAAAGGACTATAGCAGTCTTTGGTGGAAGAATGTGGAAGCAAGAATCTCCTGGCTTTAAATGCTACTTCTCCTGCTAGCTATAAAGCCCATGGTGAATTATCCTCTTTGATATTACTAAGAGGGAGTTCAAAATATTTGCTCTATGAGGATTTTGAGACTATTTATATCATAGTACCTTAAAGCACATTTGTAAAAAAAAAATAGCAATAATCAATCATAGGCTCAAGGATTGGCATAATGGAATTGTTTATTATAGTAATTACTGCAAAACAATTCAAAAGATCAATCATGATATTCAAGTTCACGGACTAGAATACAGTAGTAAAAATAAGGCCAACTATTCACATTAACATAACATGCATGAATTAAGTCACAAAATAGTATGATTGAATTTGAACAACATCCAGAAGAGGTCAAAACTCTACTACATATAGGTATTAAAAACATTTGAAATATCTACAGAATGATTTTAAAATAGTCAGGATAATGGTTTATGCTGGTGGGAGCTAAGGCAGTGTAATCAAGAAGGAGTACTCAGGGTGCTTCTAATGTCCTAATATTTTTATTGAGGGTCTGTTTCATTCTCTTTCTTTAATCTGTATATATATATATTCTCATCTATATTTGAGACACTTCATTATAAAAATAAGTTAGTTATAAATATTCCCCAAATGATTATTTTAATAATTTCATTGAATTTTACTGCTAGACTGAAATATTTATGTACGTGGACTTATAGATTCTGAATCCAAGGATCCAGATTCACTGCTCCCTCAAGTACTCTAAGTCACTAAACATCCCAAATGTTCATGATCTTATGAAAGAAGATCTTATGCATGTGAGGCAACCACTCTACCAACTGACCTATATCCCCTGCACCACAGATGCCCTTCAACAGATGAATGGATAAAGAAACTGTGGTATACGTACACAATGGAATATTACTCGGCATTAAAAGAGAATAAAATTATGGCATTTGCAGGTATAAATGGATGAAGATGGAAAATATCATGCTAAGCAAAGTAAGCCAATCCCAAAAATCCAAAGGCGAAATATTCTCTCTGATAAGTGGATGCTGATCCATGGAGATGGACAGGGGTGGGGTACAGATGGGAAAAATGGAGGAACTTTCATTGGGCCAAGGGGAGGGTGATGGGGAAGGGGCATGGGGACAGGAAAAATGATGGAATGAGATGGACATCATTACCCTAGGTACATGTATGACTGCACATATGGTGCAACACTACATAGTATACAACCAGA